CACAATTTTAGATTCCGCCCTTGATCTCGATTCGCCTTGCAAGCAGCCGAAAATCAAAAGCAATTTTTTACAAAATCTGCACGTCAAAACTAATTGCAAGTCTCGATATCAAAAACATCAATGAGTAGAAAAGTAGTTCTATGCGAGGATCTACCTCCGACAGGTAGGCGACAACTAGGCTAAAGTAAATTCTATTTATTTTTTCTATATCTTATTTTCAGCGATGCATTTAATAGCAAATGACGGTTTGATAATAATGACAATACTTCTTTTGTAACCGAAAAAGCGAGAGTAAAATCATTCGGAAACGAGCTTTTTTTACGAACTATGATATCAGAATAGCGGGACAGGGGAAATGAGAAAGTCTCAAATGCCATTTTTTTGTCTTTCATTAATTCGTTCTATGGAATCATGCTTGACGCACAGTTTTAATATCAACAAAAGATAATCAAACATAATTTTAATAAACTGCGATATTAATTATAATGCAGGACACAAACCTGTCTAAATTTATTCCTATAAGCTTTTATCGTGTTACGCGAATGGAAATTGTAATTAAAATATTTCATTGCTTGAAACTCATCAAAGGATACGGTTCAACAATTTAGAAATCAGATAGACGCAATGAAAGTAGGACTTAATATTGCCGAAAAAACAATTACATTTGCATCCGTAAAGAATTGGATTTTTAATGTACACTAAAAACGATCGTGCACATATCAATAATAATTAATCGATTTTAATTAGCGGTATCGTTTGAACTGCATTGTACCGCTCTGACGACTCGATATCAGATCCGCAATGAGATTAATCCGATACTTAATTAGCGTGTAATGTTAACCGTTAATTATTGTTGCATCGATCTCAACTGTGACGAGCCCGACTCGCGCGCGTACGGCGTATTCAATAATCAAAATAAATGCATAAACGATGCGGATTCTCGACTTACAAGTATCGCGTAGGATTCTTTCAAATTGAAAGAAAATAATATTGTACATAAAAATGAAAATTAACAAATTATAAAATTAAATTTTGTACTGATTTATTTTCTCTAATTGTTGATACTATAATATTATTTATTTTCTCTAATTGTTGATACTAATTGTTGATCTATATTATTTTAGTTAAATTAACGAAATATTGAGTAAGAGCAGTGGCGACTTATAGAAATGATTGAAACTAACTGAAATTGGATATAATTTGATATCATGAGTTTGTAGTGTAGAAAAGAATTGAGGAACTTGATATTGATTCTATATAAAGTAGAAGAATTTTTTGAAAAATGATACATATGTAGGTAGGTATTCAAGGATCGCGTCATCGTAAAAGGTCATTAAATACTTGAAATTTAGAAACTTTTCTTTACAGTGAATGTGAGACTTTCTCAAATCCCGACGGAAACGGGGGGGAGCTGCGAATGTAAAGTGCAATTAGCGTGCGTTTGGAATAGCGAAAGTGCGACGGGACAGTGCGAGGGTGTCTTTGCCACAATAAAGTCAATTTTTAACTTTAAAAAATATCGATGTGGATTTAAGACCGTGTGGTGTCTACGTAATTCTCTGTATGTTGGTGTTAATATCAGCACGACAAAAATTACATAGGCATCGCATTAAATAGTAGGTAAAGGAGAACGTTGCCTTTTGTTAAAAAATTGGCAATTTCATTTTTTTTTTTAATTTCTTTTGCAGCAACAACTTTGTTTTTCAAAACAAGATCAAACATCATGTAATCTGTAAAATCTAATGTGAAATTAAGAAGTGTGAATTGCACAATATCAAAATTGTTAATGTATGCCGCTGCATTAGTAAAACAAAATGTTTATATCGTAGCGAATAAGCGTTAACAATTAGAAAACGAGTGGCGTTTTCGGTTCATCTAATATTATTATGCTGCGAGCTTCTTAGAAATTTTCAGAGGGCGACGTCCTCCTCTATCTTCTCAAATATATACTATACAATGTATCCTCGACTGCATCTCAGATCTCATCGGCTTGCGCTTGACAAATAAGATAAGAGATATTTAAAAAAGAGGCTTAAGCGGTTGATTTTATCGAGTCTATTTTTAGTAGTTTTGTTCAAAGACTGAACAGACGAAGAGAGGAAAAAAAAAACAAAACTTATAAAAGATTATACATATTACGAGATGTGTTGCGACCTACAAGAACTGATAAAAACAACAAATCAAATAAAACATTACGATGAATGTCAGCTCAACTAGAATTATTTTTCTTATTATCGTACCTTTGTCTCTTTCAGTAAAAGCTAAACGAAAAACTAAAATTAATAAAATTCAAATTTTATATACATTTTTAATGAAATCGAAAAAATCAGATGATAGTACTGCCGCTTATTAGCTTCTCAGCTAACGCTAAATATTCACAGAAAATTCAATTCGTATTACCAATGTATTGAATGTTCTGGAACAGTAAAAGAATCGTCACAGAATGTGAAATGTCGATGAAATGTTTAGAATATTGTATGAATACTTCTTGTATATTTCATGAAAATTGCGAGCGAACGAGCAGTACACATCTCCACCGAGGGCCGCGACGAAGAGCATTTACGCGTAAACAAAAATTACCTGGGAGAGAATATAAGGAGCGCAGTATTTTATTTGTGAAGTGAGCCTCAAAATTGTGCTCCAAGGTGAAAACACATCAAGGGGATCCTAAAGCCTCCTGTTTTACCACGTAAGCACGTATAATTTTTGTATAAGAAATATTTTTTTTCTCTTTCACCGATTCGAAAATCCTTTTCCAGGATTAAAGTATACGTATTAATACGTGTCTGGAAAGTGGAGTCTATGCCGAAAACGATTAAAAATTTCAAAATTGATATATTTTTTACCATTTCTTAGTGTAACATAGCGTCTCAGCTGACAACATTGCTTGATATGAAAGCTTTACAACCTGTATGTTACATCGCTAACGAAATAGCGATATCCAGACACGAACAAACAACATCGAGTTCTTAGAGTTAGACTTAGACGCTTTATCGCGACGAATTTGTTATACGAAAATTAACACGTATGTGTGACTATATCATAGATGATTGCGTGAGATATTGCTGTAGTAGTATAAAAAGACATGTTGATGTGCGACGCGCGGCGCCGACCTCTAATGATTTCATTGGAGTTCGAGCTTTGCTTTAGGATCCCCTTAAATGTGTTTCCTAAAGTAAAATTTTATTTAAAAACTAATTCACGGACGACATGAAATTTTTAGAAAAATTAATATTTTGCTGAATATATACAAAACATTCTAGGAATACGACAAATGAAATTTTTAACTGGCATTTGAATGTTTCTTTTATATTATATATCGTAAACATTCGGAATATTTTGGAATATTCTTGGGAATGTTTTTTGGGGATTTCAGAAACGTTTTATGAATATTTTAAGAATATATAACGTTTTCTAGATTCATGAAGAAAGACGAAAATGTCTTATCGCAGGTCATTTTTCTAACTTCCGTAATTGAAAAAGTTAATAAACGGTACTATTATCGATTTTCTGATCATCTGATCTTGCCTTTTAATAGAAGAATTATGAATAGACATTAAACGTATGACTCTGCGCATAATAATAGAAGAAATATTGTAAGAACGATAAATATTAAATGCAATATTAGAGAAATAAAAGAAAATTAAGAATAGAGATTGGACGTAACGCACAATAGGTGCTTTCCAATTGTTTAACATATCTAACACAAACGTACACAGGAATGTACCAAGTGTAACATTGTGCACGATTCAATTGGAACAGAATGTGTATGCTGTGCACCGTTTCGGATAGAGTTAGATTAAATGTAGCTTTTTCCGCCTTATTAAACAAAAAAAAGTAAAAGTGTCGGCCACTTAACGTCTTCCAACTTCTTCATTTATAGCTGCCGCAATCAGTAATATATAATTGTAGATAACTAGAAAAACATCAGCTTACACAGCCCTCGACTGAGTACAGATGTGTAGTGTCATGTCGACGATATAATGGAGCGCAACTTGTGTCGCCGTTTACACGAAAGTGTCTAAGGATATTGCAATTGGAAAGCACCCATTGGATACAAATAAGATATGGCATATATATATTGCTATACGCTTACCACACATTAACGTTACTTGGAGATCTATAGGGGGATCATGAGGTAACTCTGGCTCGTGAAATAAGCGTTGACAGATTAATTGCCTATCTTTGTTTATCTAATGGACAGTAATTTGAGAACATAGTGTAGAATAGAACCAAAAAATCGTTGATATTACCGACGGATCATGGACATTGACTACGTAGTTAAATTTTGTGGATATAGGGGCGCTTCAAAATAAAGTTAAATCTCGGACATGACCACTCTCAGGGTGCCGTCCCATGAGTGGAAATTTATAGCGGAACGGAATAACGAGACCAATCACAATTGCAAAAACGAAAGTAAAGTAATAACTGCAGAATTATGATTGGTCGCGCTGTTTCGTTCCGCTGTAAATTTCCACTTATGGGACGGCACCTTCAGACTTCTCTGCTTTAGGTATTCATAGTCGATTCTTATATTTCAAGGCCGTCTTAAGTACAGTCCTTAGAACATATACACATGGAATGCTTATTGCCTATACCGCCAATGCATTGGGCTGAAGCCAAGATAGGTGCGAGAGAGAAAGATATAGTGGAACTAAAATTCGTAATGCGCATGCTCAGTTCCATCATTCCGTTCGTCAATCCATTTCGCTATTCCGCATTTCGGTTACCCAACTATAGTTTCGAATGGAACGACATAATGGATGGAACCACGTGACGAAATTGAGCATGCACATTGCGAATTTTAGTTCCACTATATCTTTCTCTCTCGCACCTATCTTGGCTTCAGCTTGAGCGTCCTATTAGCATTCTATGTGTATATGTTGTAAGGTACAGTCACAGTATAACTACATACAGTAGCAACAGTACGAGCAAACAAAGGGTTCAGTTTTGTTCTGCGCATGCGTTGGCTGTAAAATCAAGAATATGGCGGACTGTCATAGCATTAAAACTGTGGCGACGATGATTGAGACACAATAAATTACGATTGAGAGCTGAGTGAATATTGTGTATAATTACACATATTAAGATGTATAAAATAGATAGAATCTCTTTTACTTTTGCTACATGCAAGCGGCAACTACTAAATTTCTCACTCGCTTTAAACGATTACCGTACGTGAATAATGCGTTAATTCTGATTAAAATTTGACCTGGAAGGATTTGAAGAGTGATACTTTTCAGGTGTCAAAATGGATTGTGGCACCATCTCATAAAAGATTTACCAGACTTATCAAACCATCCTTGTATTACAGTAGCCAAGTAAGTAAATACAATTTTTTGTTTTATCGTTTTCTCTATCTTTATCCTGTATCCTAGACAATACAAATTTTGATACATATGTCCAAAACTGGAGCATAAAACGTCTTAAAGATTTATGTTATAGCGTTAAAGAGATCTTACAGACGTTTTATGTTCCATTTTTAAATATTTGTGCTATCTGAAATTGTCAATAAATTGTTAACTTACAAATACCATGTTTTATAATTTCATACTGTTTTATGGTTTCATTTGGTTAATTCCAAAAATATATTAAAATTAGAAACAAAAAATATACCTATATTAATATATCTAAAATCATATATAGAATTTATCCGTATTTTAAAAATACTTTATATGCAAAATATTACAATAATTCTTAATGCAGTTCAAATTCAACGATCCATAAAACCTTTTACAGTTGCTGATTGGCTAACAGTCACGTGATTGGTGACCACCGACATCAAAGAAGGTGACGATTAGGAGCTCCGTATAATAAAAGAAACAACGAACAAAAAACAGAAAATAAGAATTTTAACCTATCAGAAATTATGTATTGTCGAATATATAGTTTCTAATAGGTTGAAATTCTTATTCTCTGTTTTCTGTTCCCTGTTCCTTTTATATATTATACGGAGCCCATTACTGTCGCTACTAGAGATCCTATAGTGTAACAGAGATTCGCAAAGTGTCACGTGATCAATACATTTCTCTAATTGGCTGGAGTAATTCGTAGTAGCTTCCATATTGAATTTACTGTCAATATACTCAACATCGACTCCTGTCGACTACTGTGGAATGAGATTAAACTCATTCTTCAATGTTTCGTAAGTATTTATCTATTATTTTATGTTATGCATTGAATGTTGCATACTTTATGTACAGAATTTATTAATTTACATCCATCATCATCATGCCAATGAATCTCTAATCGCTACGCTGTATGTAATTATACTGTGGTACAGTTTTAAGATGTCACGTACCAAAAGGCTGTATTAGGCCAGTATTCATAATCCGTTCTTATTTTAAGATTGTCTTAAGTAGTGTCTTAAGACGCTAATGCGGCCTTCTGATTGGTTCGTGACATCTTAAGACTGTACTTAAGACGACCTTGAATATAAGGGCCATGTCATCTTAGAACATATATAAGTGAAAGAGGCATTGCCTATACTTGCCCATGGCTCGCGCTAATGCAAAAATCTGTGCGAGAAAGAAAGGTAGTAAGGGATAAATGTTTCCAATGCGCGGTTCCAGCATTTCTTGTTTTAAGTACCGCGTGTGAAGAAGTAAGAATTCAATAGGCATTGATGGACAGCAGGAACGAGGAACAAACGCATGCGCGTTTACCAACATTTATCCATTACTACCTTTCTCTTTCGCACAGATTTTTGCATCAAGCGCTCTATTCCTTTTCCATTTGTGTATGTTCTAAGCATGGTATACAAAAAAACTTAAGCAGTAAAACATAAGCAGTAAGCGAATTGACCAATCACAGTAAAGTCCATAAAAAAAAAACAAGATTTTATAAAAATTTCTAACTATAATAATATAATAATATTACATCCTCAACTTTAAAAAAAA